CATTGTAGTATTTTTACAAACATTGTAGTAATTTTACACCCATTGTAGTATATTTTACACCCATTGTAGTATTGTTTACAAACATTGTAGTAATCTTACACCCATTGTAGTATTTTTACACCCATTGTAGTATTTTACAAACATTGTAGTAATTTTACACCCATTGTAGTATTTTTACAAACATTGTAGTAATTTTACACCCATTGTAGTATTTTTACACCCATTGTAGTATTGTTTACAAACATTGTAGTAATTTTACACCCATTGTAGTATTTTTACAAACATTGTAGTATTTTTACACCATTGTAGTATTGTTTACAAACATTGTAGTAATTTTACACCCATTGTAGTAATTTTACACCCATTGTAGTATTTTTACAAACATTGTAGTATTTACACCCATTGTAGTATTTTTATAAACATTGTAGTATTTTTACACCCATTGGACTTATGTACATCAAATTATCAGATATTTTATAGAGATTTTAATACTGTGTACATATTTTTGTGTAATTTTTTTTTGGGTTCAGTACCAAGATTTTAATTTCAGTATGGAAAGTTCTAGCAATTTGAATTAAGGCACGATGCCATGCACCCCACTAGTTAATAGAAATGTTTAAAAGATAAATTTGGTTATAATTCTTCTCCCCTAGAACCCGGTTATATAATATATTTCAGAATTCAGGCGGCACCCTGAATCATATTGGTAGAGTGGCTCGGCACACCACAGTTAAAAGCTTGCCGACCCCTGATTTAAAACATAGAAACGATATGTAAATGTTTAGATAAAGTTTACACTTGCCAAATCAAAATTTCAAAATTGTATTGATATTTCTTATTAAGCTAGATACAAATTACCAACAAAAAAATATAAAGCTGCAGCTTTTTGTTAAAATATATTCAACCTTAATTCAAACAATATATACAAAAATTGAATAATCTGCTTGTTCACATAATTTGGATAAAAGTTTAAGACATTGCATATACATTTTATAAAATAAAATGATTTCAAATAAGAAAATGAATTGATATCTACAAGTTGCTTGAAGGATTATAATTAATTTATTATAGAACATTCTAAATTTTAACTAAATATTTATATTTTACACGAAGCTTTAAGATTAACATTTTGCTGATTAAATTTCTCCATGCGTTGTTCAATTTCAGGTCTGAAATGACGAATTAACCTTGTACGGGCCAAGCTGCACCATCACCTAAAGCACAAATTGTATGACCTGGAAACAAAATTATACCATAAAACATAGCAATTTATACTGCCAAGTAAGAAAGAAAAATATTGCAATGAATTATTTGATTCTTACCTTCAATTTGTTTACTAATTTCCCATAACATGTCAATTTCATCAGGTCGTGCTGCATTACCGTCTACAAATCTGTACATTATCTTGTTCATCCATGATATACCCTCTCTAAAATATTAAATCACAAATATTTGAAACAAACTGATTCACAAATACTTAGAACAAATCTTAACACTTTATTTTCAAAAACTTTAAAAGAGTTTATAAAAATTACACGTCTCAGGGCCGGGTATTTCGACCCGCTAGAGAGCACATATTACTTATACATTTTGTCCGCTATACATATTAGGTTTGGTCTGTCAGAATACCCGATAATACAGAGTTGTATTAATCCAAAAATTAACATGTACTTTCCACCATTAAAAAATCAAAAACGTGATAAAGTAACAACTGCTGATAATACGTAAATACCGTTCAATGTTTTAGTAACAATTTTGAAGTTCTTTTGAGCATATATAAAATGCCCACACACCCAATATATTTAAAAAATAATAAATATGATATCTTCATACCTGCAAGGAGTGCATTGTCCACAAGATTCATGCTTGTAGAACATTATCAAGCGTGCAATAGCTTTAATAATATCAGTCTGCTTATTCATCACTATTATAGCAGCTGTACCTAATGAAGTTTGGCATGCAACAAGCCCATCAAAGTCCATTATTGCTTCTTCACACACCCTGCAATAAAATATTATTTATCATCCTTTTTAATTAGGCTTAGTTTGGTTATTTATAAATCATACTTTTTAGGAATAAGAGGTGTTGAAGATCCTCCTGGAATAATAGCCAGCAAATTATCCCAACCACCTTGCACACCACCAGCATGTAATTCAATGAGCTCCTTTAAAGGAATGCTCATTTCTTCTTCTACTGTGCAAGGGTTGTTGACATGACCAGATATATTAAATAATTTAGTGCCAGAATTACGTGTTCTGCCAAAGCTTGCAAACCAATTTCCACCACGTCTACAAATTGTCTGTGTAGATAAAATATAACTATATAAATAAATAAATGTATATATTTATAAATAAAATAATATGGATTATAAATTTATAATCTATAAATTCGATCAGCGAAATAAAAACTCACTGGAGCAACTGCAACAGTTTCAACATTTGTTACAGTAGTTGGGCATCCAAAAACACCAACATCAGCTGGAAAAGGTGGCTTCAATCTCGGCTTTCCTTGTTTGCCTTCAATGGATTCAATTAAAGCAGTTTCTTCTCCGCAAATATAAGCACCAGCACCGCGATGCATAAATACATCAAAATCATATCCTGAATTACATGCATTCTTTCCAAGTAAACCAGCTTGATAAGCCTGAATAAAATAAATATAAATGAATAAGTTTATAAAATATATTTTTTATAGTTATTTATTTCTCTTGACTATTTTTGTATAATAATTATTTAGAAATAATATATAGACATTACTCACTTCTGCTATGGCAACTTGCATATTTGATGCTTCATTATAAAATTCTCCTCTAATGTAAATGTAGGCAGCTCGAGCGCCCATTGCTCTTCCTGCAATTAAGCAGCCCTCCACCTAAAAATTCATATTTAAGTATTGGAAGTACAAGATAAAAACATTATTAAGACTAAAATGTAAAAAAAATACCAATTTATGAGGGTCATGTCGCATTATTTCACGATCTTTACATGTTCCTGGCTCTCCTTCATCAGCATTAACCACAAGGTATTTTGGCCTTCCATCTCCTGGTTTGTTCATGAAAGACCATTTCAAACCTGAAGGAAAACCAGCACCTCCACGACCTCTGAGTCCAGAAGTTTTAATTTCATCTAAAAGGAAATCATATTTAAAATTATATTTGTTATTGTTATTGAAGTATTGATTTGAGATTATATGTAAACTATAAAAATAAACAAATCAGACTTCATTATAATCTGCAAATTTAATAATATAGAATTTAATATTAATAATATAAATATAACTCACTTATGATCCAATCAGCTCCCTTAAGAATGATTTCTTTAGTTTTATACCAATCTCCTCTTTTCAAAGATCCTTTCAATCTCCAATCGTGACGTCCATAAAGATTTGTAAAAATTCTGTCTTCATCTTTAAGAGGACCAAATTTAGTACGTGTTTGTGGAGGTGGAGTGCCTGGTGGTGGTGGTCCACCGCTGTTATGTCTAATTGTAAAAACTGGGCTAATTATGCCTGAAAAAAACCATTGAAAAAAATTGAGGTTAAAAATAAAAAAATCTACTAAAAAACTAATAACGTGTAGAATATATCTTATAATAGTATAAGACTTAGGGGAGAATTCAGATCATTAATTGTCAAGAAAATATAGCAAATAACAATATAAATATGTAGGTTAGATAATATTATATAATATGTCATAATTGATTATAACTAAAACAAGCTTAAACATATACAGAATTAAGACGGGCAACTTATTCCATTTTATAAATATGTTAGTTTAGGCTTATATACCCAATTGTGTTTTAGCCAAATTAACACGAAATAATACTCCAGCCATTTTTGACGGCTAATGAACTGTCACACACCGTCTCACTGTCACCAGCCAACATTTATCACAACACTATTTCTTTTCTATCTAACTTCAGTACGGTCATAGGTTACTCAGTTAAAATAATAAAAGCGCGATTTATGAATTATGGTATTGATTTTAGTTATTTATCTACCTACTTTAGTTACGATCTTATGCTTATTTATACATATTTTAGTCTTATTTATCCATGATTACGACATCAACGTCTCTTGAACTTCAGCTAAACATATTTGAAAAATCTTTTTTGATAAACATTTCGCTTTTGGCTTTTTGCTAATTTCTAATAAGTTAAAGATTCTAATTTGGTAACTCATTTCTGAATAAACTAAAACAAAATGCTAACATTATAAAAATATGTATTATTTGTTAAATATGAAATTGATATAACATATTTTAATAATCAATCAACTCACAACAAACATCCTCCTTTTCGCATTTCATTTTACATATAAAAAAAATATTTACATGTACTTAATTTTTATAAATATACAAAAAATATATACAAACATAAATTTATGATACAAGTCCAGGAGCAAATACTTTTACAAATCTATCATGTAGTTTGTAATGATAAAGACTTTGTTTATTCCACAAATTTTCTTTGGTCTGAGCATTCATTTCAGATATTTCCATTTTTCCTGAAACATTACTGCTGAATCCAGTTTTCAATGGACTTATACAAACATGAGTATTTGATGAATGTTGAACTAAATTAGCTACGACTAAGTCATACTCTGATGAAACATGTACATTTAAAATGGCATAATTACCAGGATTACTGTAGATTAAACTCTTAACTTGTTTAATCAACATTAAAATTTCTGAAAGTGTAAATTCCATTTCAAACAAATGGCTTAAATCATCTATTATTAGCAATACATGTTTATCAGATTTAAGCATTTCTTCTACATTATCTTCGATTTCTTTTAATAAAACTTTTTTTAAATTCTCATAGCTAGAGTCTTTTAATACTAATTTCATTGCCTCAATTGTTTTGATTGCCCCTTTTTCTTTAAGAGCATTCAAGTTATAACCTAATTTCATTCCAACATTATGGTAATGATGAAACGTATTATGCAAGGTAACAAAGCAAACATTGTACTCGGCCTGAACATATTTTGATAATAAGCAGCTAATAATGAAGTGTGCATCAGAGCCATGTTCTTCTCGGATACCAATGAGACCACCTTTTGGAGAAGATATATCTAAACCAATCGCAGACAAAACTTCTGCAGCCATTTTATACCTTGAAATGAATTATTATCAATTATAAATGATTGTTAATAGTTAAATTGATAATAATTTTAAGAGTAAGAGTAAAGTAAATATTTTGTATATGTAATAAAAAGAAAACAATGTTATAGATTTTCAATGGTAGTTTTCATTAATTGCTCATAAATATGCTCATAAAGAGAATCTAATTAGAGTTTATCCCAAATATTTTTGGGAATATTAAATAAAATCAATATTTATTTCCACGTCCAGTCCGATTTGCAATTAACTTGTTTGAGAATGACGAAACATGTAATATAGATAATGTAGAGGTCATTTTGTACGCCTTTCTATCATATCCATTGAACCAATCCAATGGGATTCTCACGTTCAATATGAATGTCATAGACCATACACGTCACACTGGCATAATTAATACATAACAAAGTCACAATGGCAACTGATATCATAATAAAACGTTGAATAATCGCAGTAAGTCTCCTTTAATAAGTCAATGGATTAACGAAAATTATTATATATTGATGTATCCATTACAGAAAAGCAAGGTTAAGATGTGTTTGCACAACATGTTAGAACAATTTTAAACATAATTTGTGCAAACAATACAATAGATTTAAACTGAAATAAATTGTTTATTCAATTCACGACATTTCCATAATTGATATAACTCACCTTATTAGATAACACAGAAATTTAAATTCGCAAATGACTAGGGCTATTCAGTTCGCTCTCGCAGTAACTACGAGCACGTTTTTAAATAGTTAATACACCGACCGCAAGGTGTTAATTTTATTTGAACATTAATTTTAAATATAATAAGATTTCGACATAGAAATTATTAAAAAAAAATATTAAGAATAAAGAACAAAGCAATGAAAAAATAAACTTTTTTTTTATATTGAATATTTTCAGTCTATTATTGAAAAAAATATTTTTTTTTTTTATATTTACACAAATATCTATTATTATTTTTATTATGTAAAAAATATTGATTCAAGTGTTGTGATATAATAGGTGGCAATGTCAGGGTTACAAAGTAAAAAGAAATCTTATTGGTACTTCGGAGGATTAGCATCTGCTGGAGCAGCATGCGTAACACATCCTTTAGATCTTATTAAAGTTCAACTTCAAACTCAGCAAAAGGGAAAAATATCAATAGGTCAACTCGTAGTAAACATATTTAAAAATCAAGGTATTGCATAATGATAAAATTACATGATTGATGTTCTAAAAATAATGTTCATATATGAAAATTTTGTGTTTATATATATATATATATATATATATATATATATATATGTGTGTGTGTGTATGTATGATTTTAATTGAAACATTTTCTGAACAAAACTTCCTTTTTTCCTCGATGAGTTATTTATTTAAATTTTAAATATTTCATTCTGTTTCGGAGATTATAGGCTATTGTATCATTTTCTATAATTATTGATAACAAAAATAAAAATTATATATTTATACACTTTTTTAATCATTTCAAAATTGCAAAAATCAATAGTATTATTAAATACTCTTCATTATTATAGCTTGACTTATTTTTGAATATCATTTTTGGAAAATGTGCGCTCAGATAATTGTTGATTGTTTTTAAAAAATATTGGGTTACAAAGGAAAAGAGTGAATTCTTTCGGTTTTGAAATAATTAGAAAAGTGTTGAAATATATAATATATATTTTTTATTTTGTTTGTTCCTGAAGCATAGTCTCGAAAACCTAGTATAATATAATTAAAATAAAGTTAATTTTTCAAACAAAAAAAGCTTTTGTTCAGAATATATATATATATATATATATATATATATATATATGAAAAACTTAATACTTCAACTCACAATCTGTAATAATGATGTCCAGCGATTAATTAAAATTTGAAATTTGCTTCATATTAAATTCAAATATGTTTTATAGCATGCAATAGAAAATAACCAATAATTTCTCCAGGAATCACAGCGTTTTATGCCGGTCTGTCAGCTTCGTTATGTCGTCAACTAACTTATTCAACAACTCGATTTGGAGTATATGAAGTTGCCAAACAAGCAATAGAGAAATCCAATGGCCCAGCACCTGGATTTGTGACTTTGATAGCCTTAGCCAGTGCTTCAGGTGCAGCAGGGGGGTTTGTTGGCACACCTGCTGATATGGTGAACGTGAGAATGCAAAATGATGGAAAATTGGCCCCTGAATTGCGAAGAAAGTAATAACGATAGTGTGAAGACATTATGTTGTTTTCCTAGCAACAACACTTTTCTTAACAAAATTAAAGCTTTTGCAAATTATGAAGACTGACACAGATCTTATTATGATTTTAGCTATCGAAATGTGTTCCATGGGCTCTATAGGGTATTTGTAGAAGAAGGTGTACGAGGTCTCTTTTCAGGAGCATCCACTGCTACTGCAAGAGCGATTCTGATGACTGTGGGCCAAATTGCATTTTATGATGCCGTCAAAGGTCAATTACTTAAGTACAACTTTAAAGATAATACATCCACTCATTTTCTTGCCAGTTTGACCGCAGTAAGTACGAGAATGTAACTAATCTATATAGAAATGATCTTAGCATTTTTATTATCAACTCTATAGGGCGCCATCGCCACAACTATGACTCAGCCATTAGATGTAATAAAAACAAGGTCTATGAATGCAAAGCCTGGTGAGTTTAAAAATGTATTGGAGATTATTTATTATACAGCTAAACTAGGACCAATGGGCTTTTTCAAAGGATACATTCCAGCATTTGTGAGGCTGGGACCTCACACTATTTTAACATTTATATTTTTAGAGCAGTTGCGAATGAATTTTGGATTTGTACCAAAATCATGAGATATATAATAATAATGCTTTAAAATGATATTAAAATAATCATGTCAGGTAAAAACAATGCCTAAATTTATCAAAATGGGAACAAGGTAAATAGGATATAATAATATGAATATAAACTGATGCATTAACATACATTCCATAAACTATATTTAGAAAAATATATAATAAATGAGTTTGTTTTAAATAAAAGAAACTGTTTATATTAATAAGAGCAACAAGTGTGATAAAAATGATCGTAATGCTCAGTACTAATTACTCTCATTAATCGCAGTTCACAATATTCATAAAATAAACTCATTTCCTTCTCTATATTTTTTTATAATATTGAATAGATTTTATAAATATAAATTATTAAATAGATAAATGTACAAATGACAAAGTGCAAAATGAAACAAACCATTCCACAGAGAGAATACTCGCCACAATTTTAATATATAAATTTTAATATATGTACTTATGTTAGATGTTTTACTGTTTATAAAGACAAAAAAATCCTCGATATTAATATAATGTTAAGACATCATATTATGTATATAAAAATTATATATAACTTGTTACAAAAAATAAATGCGTTAAGAGAATGAAAGGGTTTGTAAATATTGATAAGTATTTTGAACAGACTTCCAGGTTCGTCCAAGTTTAAAAAAAGTTATATTTGGTTTAACATAATCACAAATAAAAATATTATCAAATCAGATATTAAAATCAGAACTGAGTTCTGATTAAACTGAAATTAAACTAAAATATTTAAAATAAATTAACTCTCACCTTCAATAATTTGCTACCTAATTAAGAAACCACCTTAAGAACTTTAACCTGTCCTGATAAAGATATTTTTATATTTGCGGGAGCTTGAATCCAAGGCTCGCCGTCTATTTGAACAGGTGTCGGTTTAAGTAGCCTCACCTAAAAAACAATAATAAAAGATTGAGCTACATGTTTTAGAAGTCCTCTTTATTTAAATATTATACCTCAATCACACGTGCTTGGCCTATCCTTAATGGCTGAGATAGTCCAACTTGTAATTGAGCGATATGGAATGATGAAGTTATTCCCAAAACTTCGATAATACCATCACTTGGGCTTTGCACTGTACCATCAGCATCGCCCATATCTTAATAAGAATTTATATTGAAATTTATGCATTTTTAAAAATTATATAAGAAAGAGTGAAAAAAAATTAATTTTGTGGTTAGGAATATTATCACATGCTATATGTGGCTTCACTAATTAAAAAGTAAACAAAGTCAACTTGGACAGTAACAAATATCTATGGAATAGATTAGTTTCATAAAATATTTAAATCTTTTTAATACACATGGAAGTTTATAACATCTATAGATAAATATTTATTATGTTAGTACAAGGGATATTAATATAAAGGTTAATTAAAAAGATAAAGCATTACAATTAATTTCTATAAGATTTATTGATATAATTACCCCATAATTTTACCCCAGCGCCCCAGCATTTGATATTCAATAGCACAATGCTTTCTACTGGTGGTAAATTTATAACTCGACCATCCAAAATTAATTCTAATTTTTGCTCCAATCCTTTATTTGTGGGTGCAACAACTTGTTGAGTTCCATAACACAAATAAAGAAACTGTAATAATTAAAAATAAGTATTGTTTAACTATATACAAGTATAAAATTATGTATGCATATACCTTGTTAATTAATCTACTACTCATCAAATAGAATTTACTTTCACGTGCTTTATGAAATCCTAATGTCACTTCTGCATCAACACCAATACTTAAATAATTATATAAAACTTTGGTCTGTGTATAGAGTGTTGATGTAAGCCTGGTGCATTTTGCTATTTCTACATCCCACCTACAAATTAAAAGAATGTTGAAATATTAAAAGTTGAAGCTTTAATATTATTGAATTACCTGTCCAGATTAATTGTATCGGCGGATTGTATCTTTTGCAATATTATTTCTGGTTGAATAATATCTGGAGGTTCTGCACCCCAACCCAAAGATCGAGACAAATCATTTCCCGTACCAAGTGGAAATATTGATACTAAAGGTTCTGGTTTAAGTTTCATTTCTCGAATAGTATTCAGAACCCAAGCAACAGTTCCATCACCACCTTTCATAAATAAAAATCATGATTAGTTTTTTTGTTAGAACCACAATTTCATAATTATATTGAAAAAACTCTACCTGCTATAAGGATTCGGCACACATTTGGAGCAACTAATTTGACCCAATGCAAAGCTTGAGCTGGTGTTCGATTTTTTCCTATAATCATAACTTGAATAGGATTCAGAATAAATCTAAATAATGATAAAATTTCTTCAGCATCACTACTTCCTGATTTTTTGTTAGCTTTTCATTTTAAAAAATTAAAATCAGTTACTGTAAGTTTACTTTTAATTAAATGAATGCTTCATTGTCAAAGTTACCAATTATTATCAATGGACTCCAACCAGGCCATTCAGGTGGATTCACAGAAATAATTGTTTGTTTCCTTCTCATGCGAGTTCTGATTTTTGTAGGTTTAATACTGGTTGGTGGTACTATCATCAAGCGATAAGGACCGAGATCACATGTCTATTAAAAACGTAATTTTTATCCAATTTAATTAAATCCTTAAGAAATATCCAATTTCTTAAGAAATATGTGCATTTATTAATAATAGACTTACTTCAGGAATTCTTGATAAACATGTGCCATGAATATTCCTATGACACCAGCAACAATGAAAATCTCCTTTCCAAGGATCTGTAAATTCATTATTACAGATTGCACACTCTTCTGTTCCATCGACCGATGCAATTGTGCCTAATGTTAGAAATATAAAGTATAATTTCAAGTCCTGTTTTTGAAGATGAAGGAATGAAATGAATATAATTACCTTTAATCCAATGATGTCTTAAAGTTTTAGTCTGAGTTATTGCTTTACATTTAATATCGTTATCTGCTTTTTAATGCAAGGTTTATCAGCACAGACTCCACAACAATCACAATAAAAACTTGAAGTAGTTACAAGCAAGGAATCACAAACAGCGCAAAAACGAGCCTGAAATATAAACTCAATATTAATAATAATCCAAATTTAGTTACAAAATAAATTGTTCTGCATTAAAAGGATATTACATGTGTTTTATATGTCGCGGGAACCCACTGTTGCCAGTTATGATTTTTATCAAAATCTCTAATTGGAACAGGTCCTTCATCTAGGAAAAGTTTTATAAAATTCACTACAATAAATAATATTAATAATCCCACTATTAACGGCCAATTAATACAGCAACTTAGAAACCATAAGAAATCCATCTTAACAATTTATTGATTATTTAAGGCATTATAATAGAATTAATCAAGGTTGCAAATTATTGATCTTGGTAATAAAGCTTTTAAAAAAGACATGTTTTAGTGACATTCATATAACACGTCAATCGCTTTTTGCGTACATCATTCTGAAGAATTGTTTATAAACAAACGACGTCATCTTGAAACTGTCACAAAATGTCAAAGCGAAAGTTTGGTACATTTTTCCATAGATAAAAGAAGAGTATATAGATCGCTCTCTCGGGCCATATTTCGTTGCCACATTCCTGTGTTAGTTGAAGCCCCGCGCTACAGATGGCACTAGTCGCCTGAACGGGTGCGTATAAAAAATACTATAGAAATGAACCAAAATTATATGGACCGTTTTAATTCAAAATTTAAAAAAAGAAAAATTGAAAAAAAAAAAAATTTTGAAGCATTTATTTTTCACAAAAACATTCTACATTATATCTACATAGTTCTCTTTATAAACAAAGCACACATAGCATAAAAATGTACATAAATATACACATTATCCACAATGTATATATATATATATATATATATATATATATATATATATAACATTATATATGATTATAATAGATGGTAGTAAGCTGTAAAAACTATGTGCGAAAAGCATAAAAATGTACTTAAATGTACACGCTATCCACAATGTATATATATATATATACAAATATATATATATATATATATATATATATACATATATATATATATATACATATATATATATATGTGTGTGTGTAATATCATTTTAGCATATCAGCCTTTCAAGCTGAGCACAAAAAGAATAGAAATGTACATGAATGTATATATTATTTATATATATACATATACATATATAACCACAATTCTTTGATTGATATTGATTCAGATCAATATATAACCAATATATATATATATATATATATATATTTACATATATATTTATTTTGATTAACATTAAGTTACATAATATCTATGATGTACAGTCTCTATTTGGGAATCTTTTCTGCGCTATTGTTAATGTGCATTCAAATGTTTGTTCAAAATGTCATTATTATCATTGTCTTAAAGAAAAACAACAATCATTGATATTATTATAACAGTACTTAATAGTTTTCTTATAGCATCTACAATAAGACATTTTAGAGTAAAGCTATTGACATCTCTTTCAGAATAGTCAAATGCAATAAGCAAGTGCACATTAAGGGTGTTTTATCCCTTTGCTTTTTAGAATTTTATCATTAATCATGATTATACTTTGCCTGTCATTTGACAGTTCCTGAAAATCTATACAATGTGATTCCCTTTATCATCATTAAACAACACAGATAATAATATTTCTTGTAATATCAAAATGAAATTATTAATACTTAAAAACTTTTCCTGTGACATAGCCAAACCTAAATTAACCTTTGCACTAGCTAGAATTTCACCATTTATTGAGAATTTCCTTTCACTTACGATTATATCATTAGTGTTTTTAGTATGTTCTCCAAACTGACTTAATATATAATTACGAGTCGTACTGTTCAATATTAGTGGGAGATCAGCAAAGATTTCAGCACATTTCAGACTTCATTCTTATTGTTTTTTCCTGTGTATTCATTCATCTCATATCAATACTTGTACACTTGTGAATGTGTTTAGTAAACCGTCTAAACATTTTACATTTGAACGTATTTTCCTTTTATACTGCTGAAAAAATCGATGTAGAATTATTAGTTATGATCCTACATTATTAGAACAAGATTAATTTATATTTAGTTATTTAATAACATACCTTTCAGAGAGCTGACAGGAATTCTCTCTGTCTATTTATAACCTTAAAATTTCTAGTATTGATATAGTTAAATGTCTCAATTATTTCTGAATTATTAAACTGTAATGAAAAATCATATCAGAATAGTACAATCAAATGAAAGTAATTCGAAGTATGCATATTAATAAAAGTACTCACTTAGATTGAAAGCCGGCAAATATTATTACTTATTTTACTTTTACTTCGTCGTTTCTCGCTGGAACTACATAATACATGCATTTTTCTTGGTATTTCTTCTTCGTTAAACAATGCACTTCGACAGCTTATTTGTTTTTTACTCTAACAAGCATTTATTATATTGTCTAGGTTATCTCTCCATGAAAATTTATTACAATGGACGCCATGTTTAATTTAAGTATCTGTCATATGTCAAATTCGATTTCAAAGTGAAAAAAAAATAAAAAAAAAAAAACAAGCGCGACCGGCGGCAGGGGCTCTAACTAAACTCGGGTTACAGACGTTTGTTCCGAGATTACCGGCCATGCATTTTTCTATGAAAAAAAAAAACAGAATCTGCAAGATATTGAAATTTTTTTTATATTATATTTTAGTAATATATTATAAATAGATAATATTAATTCGATTCATTGTTTCATCATCATCCGTTAATAACAAACAACAAGTTCCTGTTGGCCTTATTAAGTCCGCCATTTAAGAATGTCTATAAAACATATATTGTTGTGTCTATGTTGTTGATCATATTTTGACATATCGCTGAACGATTTGACAATTGTATCAAAAGAATGCCCCAGGATTCAAAAAGAATGAATCGAAAAGGCTGTTTGGTATTAAACTTACATTATTAAAATTATTTGAAATATATTATTATATTAATATATCATAACTAATCCGTCTAATCCCTATCTTAGACCCCCCTGTCTCCAGGACCTGTTGTGGACATAAGTGACGATGAATTAGTTACTATATCTGTCAGAGACCTCAATAGACAATTAAAATTGAGAGGCTTATCCCGCGAAGATATAGTTCGCATGAAACAACGCCGAAGAACCTTAAGAATCGAGGTTATGCAGCTAGTTGTCGCATAAAAAGGATTGAGCAAAAAGATGAATTGGAGACCGAGAAGTCACAAGTATATTCCAGATTGATCTCTAATCAATCAGCACAATTGATTCTAAATTATTCAATTTGTTATTTTGCTTTCAGGAATGGAGAGACATGGAATTGATGCAAGAAGATAATGCGAGAATCATGGAGGAAATCATGGCTTGGAGAGGAAAATATGATGCTTTGAAAAAATTTGCAGCTTCAAAGAAGATTCCATTGCCACCTGAATTAGAACATCTCTAGAATAATTATGAATTAAGATAATTGTTGTATATGAAAGTGCTGTGAAGGATTTACTTTCAGATTTGAAATACTAGATAAATGCTACCTGCGCAACACATATTGTTGCATAGTAATTAAAACAAAGTTAAAACAAAATTCATTTAAAATTAAATATGAGTTCTGTCCACTTGTAGTAAATTCTTTTTATATTCAAATTCAAGCTTATACAAAATATTTAACCCTTTTACTATGAGAGTGTTTTCCATAGAAATTACACTCCTGTATAAAGGTTTTAAGACTTTTCTTTGAAATTATTCTTATTGTAAGTATAATAGAAGAAATTATTCTATTGTAAGAAGGTTTGGAATACTGTGGTGTTTGTAATATTTTTCTAAGAATTATTTATAATTTGTAACTTAATGATAAAATGAAATAAATATATCTATATAATTATTTAATTATTATATTATTGAATATACTTTGTTTAGTTTGTTGCAAATCTTGAGTAACCAATTGAAATAATGCTTATAAAATATTTATGATAGACAAAGAAAATATATACAGTTCAAATTTGGAAGCTTATCAACAATTGATTCTGCATAAATAGCAAAAGCGCTAATAAAATAATAAGCTTTGAATTAATGTAGAAAAGGCATTCAATGAGTTTAAGGAAACTAAAATGAATTTTATCTTGGATATTTGAACACACTGCACATTCCCAAAAATTATTAATGTTACAAATCTTTGAAGACTAATGTTTGTCTCATAATCATTATAATGTATAAATCATTTCTATTTAAGAATGGCCACAAATTCTACAAGAATTATATGATTATAAATATAATACAATCATATTTAAATAATAATTATTTATACATTACACTGATTTGAGACAAACTTACTCTCAAAAGTTTGTAAATTTAATATATTTTTTAATAAATTGTGATAAAAAGACTGTGTTCATATTTCCAAGATAATATTCATCCCATATGGACACGGGGTATTCTAATATTGTCTGGGATTCATTTCATTCATCATATCGTTTTGATAAAATTAGCATAATTATTATTGCTATTGTAATTCAGGGGAAGTACCGAACTTAATAGGATACTGAAATGGTAAGATCCGGTTCCTTAACTGTGGTTCCGGTCAATTAAATTTTTCAAATTGATAATAACTACAAGATGGCGCAATCACCATGTTGTATCATTGACGTCAACGAATGTCAATGTCAAACTCACGCGTGATTTTCAATATTTTTAAGCGATAAATTATTCAATATTATATATAATACAGAAATATGCCCATAAGATGATGAAGATTCAAAGATTTATACTAAGCACTAATTTTAGAATATTTATAGGTAATAAACGTAAAGTAATACACTTTATTTTATATTTATGCTAATATCAATAACCCTTATTTCAGGCCCTTGTAAATGTTTTAAGCGAACATTTTCCTTACATGATTTATCATCCGAACATAAGGAATTACAGAAATTATGTCGCACCTTTGCAGAAAAAATCTGAAGCCTATAGCTGGAGATCTAGATAGAAATAACAAGTTTGTATACAATTATTGTTAATATGTATTTTATATTAAATAACATAATAGATTTCCAACAGAACAAATTCAGCACCTTGGAAAATTGGGGCTTATGGCAATAAACGTAGATCCAGACTATGGAGGTTCAGGTTTAGACACCTTGTCTATTTCATTAGCTGTTGAAGAAATTGCAAGAGGATGCGGAGGAACTGGTAATGATAATAACCTAATACTAATAAATAATGTAATACATTGATATTGATTGTGTTGACTTACACTATAGTGCTTTTTAAGCTTATATCGATATATAAACTGAAACATTACAAGATCAATGTTCCAATGATATAAATCTCGGCTAATTTTCATTATCATAATATTGATATAAATACTTAAGGTGCAATAGTTTCAATCCACAATTGTTTGTACGCCTGTCTCTTGAATAGACTCGGGACCACAAAACAGAAAGAACAATTTCTACGACCTTGTACAAGTGGAAATATAGGTGCTTTTGCTCTGAGTGAATCAGGTATAATAATAATGTTCAATATAAATATCTAAATATTTCTAATAAAATATATCAAATGTTATTTAAGAGGCTGGCAGTGATGTAGCAGCCCTATCAACTACAGCAACAAAGGATGGAGACCATTGGCTTTTAAATGGAATGAAAGTAAGTATTCAATGAAAATATTAATTTAAATTATATTATATTATTAATACAATAACATGCTATATTGATTAGGCATGGGTGACTTCAGCATATGAAGCTAAGGCTGCAGTGATATTTGCCACAGTTGACAAAACTTTACAACATAAAGGCATCACGGGTAAAATAGAAGTAAACAATTAAATAAACACAATAATTACTTTACTTACTAACAAATAATAAATACAATAATTACGTTTTACTTTAATAACTATATTATCCATATGAAAATAGAATCACTTATAATAAAAAGAGGACTCTGCTTACGAGTTCAACTGAATAGTGAGTTGGAAAGAGAAGCCTGCAAATGAGCTAACTTTAAAACTATAAAACAAAAATAGAACATTACCAACGAGCATTCATTCACTTTTTTCGTTGAAATATGCTCTTTTTTCAAAATAATTTTTTGTCTTAACCATAAAGGGAAATCGAGAAAAACTTGGTTACATTTCGAGAAAAAATCGAGAAAAATATTAAAAGGTGCATATATTAGTAGTATTCTTATCCCTTATCGCCTTGAGAGATGATAAAAATATAGGTCGTCGAATTTATAATTCTATATAATTTAATAATAAAGCATTCCTGGTCCCAATGGACGCCGAGGGGCTTTGCGTTCTTCGGAAAGAAGTAAAGCTAGGAATAAAGGCAAGTAGCACATGCAGCTTAAGCCTGGAAAATGTGCGCGTACCGGACTGGTGTGTGATAGGCGAGCCCATGTCAGGATTTCGCATGGCTATGGAGCAACTTGATTTGGCACGAATTGGAATCGCATCGCAGCATTAGGTATTTAGAAAATAAATTTATTTTCTTAACTGATATGACAAGAAATCAGACCGAAGAATTTCTTATTTAGGGTAATATTTCAATTATTTATCCAGGATGACGATTTTTTTAAATCTCTTCCTTCTTCTTTAAGGTATAGCACGAGCTTCTTTGGATTCAGCAGTTGAATACGCCTCAAAACGAAAAGCATTTGGAACTTATTTGATAGACATGCCTGCCGTAAAAGTGATTTTTTTTTTAATTTAATTACATTTATATATTTTCATATTAATAATGCCAATTAAACATATTTTATTGCGCAGGGACACATAGCAGATGTAGCTTTACGACACGAGTCAGCACGGTTGCTAACTTGGAAAGCAGCCTCTATGAAGGATGCATGCGAACGGTAACTTCACTAAAACATAATCCAATTTAATATGTTTTATGAATCTTCTAATATTTTTCTTCTAGAACAACAAAATACAGTTCTATGGCTAAAATCGCAGCTAGCCAATGCGCGACATTCGCAGCACATACTGCTATGCAAATAATGGGCGGGATGGGATATGTGAACGATATGCCAGCTGAAAGGCACTATAGGTAAAAAAAATGGCTTAAGTTAAATATAATTATTAGATTTTCATTTATATTCTATTCACAATCCATTTTATTTGCAGAGATGCACGAATCACTGAAATTTACGGTGGGGTTACGGATATCCAGAAGCTGGTGATTGCGGATCAAGTCATACGCGAAATGGGCTATGAATAAACTATTTATTTTAAATGTATATACAAAAAATTGATAATCTTAAAAATACCTGTTCTGGTATAAAATATTTTTGATATATATATTTTTGCATTATAATAATCTATATTTATATTTTCAAGAAGGAGAATTTGTAATACTGTTATTATATATATTTTTAAAATAAAATTATTATTTATAAAATGTTCTGTTTTATTATTTAAAATACCGAAACTTATGTAAATCGTAATAACTGTAAGGTTATTACAGTAATTTTTTGTACAGTTATAGTCCAAACCGAGAAAAACGTATTTTTTCGTAACATTCTATCAACGAACGTATTTTTTTAAATGAAATTTCAAATGTTATATTGAAAAACAGTTTATAAAGTAATTATGATTATAAAGAAATTATTACAATTTTTCATCTTGGATTTTTTTTATCTAACAATCAGACTATGATGTTTGCCAAACGACAGGTGACTTCGATAAGATATAAGGAATTTTGAATAAATAAATAAATATTGAAGTATTTTGAAATTTGAAAAATACAAAATAAACCATTATCAAGCATATTATTTCAATTTGCAGTTTTTTTCTATTACCAATAATATATTTTTAATCGCTACAAAAAACACATCTCGCCGTGATATCTTAACTTATCTACGAGTATATTAATGAAATGATTAGATAAGCCCGTTATAGGACGCCTAACAAATATTACTTTGAGTAATAAAGTCAGAATTGTGAATTGATTTTTCTTATGCACAAAATTGTAAATAATTTTGTTTAAACGTGGCGTAATTATATAGGAAGCAAATAAAAGTGGAAAACAAAGGCGTGTTTACGTTAAGATATAATAAATCGAACGTAGTGGCATATAAATAATAATTTGTATTCGTAAGAGGGAAGATTATTTAGTCAGAGCATTATTTAAAACAATAATATTAAAACAATAGAGAAAACTTTGAACATTAATTAACAACGGCGGGTTCATATTTCAACGTTTATAAATCGTATACGCTATTTGAATAAAATACATTTTACTATAGTAATATAAAATTAATTTATAATAAATAAAATAAAGCACTGTTTTACCAGTAATTACAGCAAAATGAAGAATATTTTTTTATACGTCGTTTTCTTTTGTTCTTTTGAAATAATACTTGGTGATAGCAAAATCGATCTTTGTGAGGTGTGCAAATGTTCTAAAATAAAAAATCCAGATAATAAGCTTTCAATATCATGTAAGTTTTCATATATTGATTGGGAAAGAGTGGATTGGCCACGAAATGATGAAAAAATTGAAATAGAACTTGGAGCAAGCGGACAAAACAGCGGAGCAACCATGTTGCCAAGGTTGAGGAAAAAATTACTTTAATGTTACTTGAAATATATTACAGTTCATTTCAATTTGTAAATTTTACATTTCGCTCATTTATCTGTCTATTGAACTCACGACAATAGAATAACTACAAAATTAATTATAAAATAAGTGATTATTGGAATTCAGATCGATTAACCAGATTTCCTGATTCGATTAACCTATTTTTAACTATAATTAACTTAACCTTTCAGATTCCCCTACAATGAACAGATAAAATTTATCAATATCACTTCAAGTGGTATAAAATCTGTAAAACCAGGAGCTTTTAAAAATCTGCCCAACTTAGAATATTTATCGTTAACTAACAATAGCATAAAATACCTCGGAGGAAACATATTTCAAGGACTCAAAAAACTTAAATCGTTAGACCTTTCCCAAAATAAACTGACCGAAATAACCAGCGACGTTTTTGAAGATCTTCAAAATTTGGAAGAATTGTATTTAGGAAATAATGAATTGACTAAAGTGCCAATTGAGGTAATCGAGAGTATAGTGATGTATTATCTAATGTTCTTAAAAATCAAGTTATTAATAGATTCAACATGTTGTAGACATTAGAAAATTTGAAGGAGTTAAGAACTTTAGATTTGTCTTCAAATATTATTTTCATTTTGAAAACAAATGAATTGATGTTACCGAAATTAAAGAACTTGGATTTAAGTAAAAACAATTTAACCGTCATTGCCAGTGAAACTTTCAGCGGACTGAAATCATTGTAATTATATTTATTCATAAGTGTGAACAAGTTGTTCTTCCAAACAAATGCTAAATCCTGATTTATTTTACAGAGAAAATATAAACTTATCTAACAATAAAATTGTCAACATTGAATCAAAAGCATTCGATATCAGTAACCTGAAATCTTTGGACATTTCGTACAATCGACTTTCCAATGTTCTTACTCTACCAGAAAGTATACAAGTTGTAAATCTTGAATGGAACGCTTATATATTTTGGCCTTTTGAAAAGCCCATTGAAGAATTGCGTTATTTAAATTTACGCCAAAATAACATACGAAAAGTGAACTTGGATGAATCTTACAAAAAACTAGAGGTATGTAGTTTATTATGAAATAATTTGAATAACTATCAGAATCAAGTATCATTCTTTTTTCAGACCTTAATACTTTCCGGAAATGTACTCATTGAGTATCCGCGAATGAAACTAAATGAGCTTTCAACATTGGACTTAAGCAACAATGATTTTTCAATATTACCAGAACAACTCGACATAAATCTAATGCCCAATTTGAGACACCTTTCACTAAGTGGAAATCCAATTCGCAAAATTAAATTTGAAAATATCCTTTCCTTGGAAACGCTCGAGATAAACGATATGTCAAGACTTACAGAAATTTCGGGACTCGAAAACATACGTAATAATATAATTGAGCCCAAACGATATGAAATCTTTATTATACAAATGTTCTAATAAGATATTGAATTTTTAGATGGCAGAATATTTGTCGAATCAAATAAACCTTGTGTTCATCTGAGCATTTCAAATTGTGAATTGCTGGTTAAAATACAAAATGATGCTTTTGAAAATATAAATTTATGTAGTGTGAGTAGATAACGAATTTATAAAAAATAATACAAAATTAAATTCACAAAATCATATTTCAGTTAAATTTGAGTCATAACGCTCTGAAAGAAGTGCCGCTCTCGGTGCCAAACGACATAGAACTTGATTTACAGGTAGGTACTAAATCAAATTAAATCTAGCAATTTAATGAATATATTCAAGAGATAGGAATATTGCAAAACCAAAACCAAAACCAAGATCAAAACCAAATCCACGCAAATTAAAATAATTTCAATTACAGGGAAACCCTTTGATATGCTCTTGCAGCCTACAATGGTTTTTAGACGATATATTACCATTTTTGTATAAACATCACCAGCACGTTTTACCCGAATTGCGATGTGGTTCTACGCGTTTGGTTTATTGGTACAATTGGCCTGGCAAAGTATTGTGTGATAAAGACTCAAAGAATTATATGAAAGCCGACCTGAAAGATTTGGTAAAACCCAAATACTGTTACAGATGTTTCTTCATTTATTGATTTTAGCATCGTTTTTTATATTACTTCGCCATAAACAATTAACGAAAGTGATATATTTTAGAGCCTAGCATCAAGCACATACCATCAAACAACTTT